TATAAGTTTAACATTACAGCAAATGTATAACGTTTCGACATGTTAAACTCATATTAAAGTTTTTCTTCACTACCCATTCAAGCTGTCTCCAACCATTATCAGTATAAAGTTTATTTATGCCTTTCAAAAGCATGCCAGTTATAAATAAACAGTGAAAGCACAAAATACTAATGACAACTTTAATACTTGAATATACTGTATACTCAATATGCCAAAGTCTATAATTAATGTTAGTTTAGAAGCTAATTAAAATATTTTTATGATAATTGATTTAAAAAATATATATCTTTTTTTGAAGCTTTATATTAAAATAATGTTGATGTCTGATGTTTCTACGTGCTGTACTAAGCTATTATACTTTTTCCCCTCTTTCTAGTACTAAGTATAACTTTACAATTTCAACATGAAGTTTGTTAATATGATACATCTTGGAACTACCTTGTAACCATGGAATTGTGCATACTATAACTCTGAATGTATCAAGTGTATCTTCACGAAATTTGGAAAGCTTTTCATAAAGTAGTCTGTGAATTTACAAAGCTTTTACAGAGTCAGTCTGAATGAAAGGTACGTTTTTTTCAAAAATAATTAGTTTCATCTTACACTTTTCTTATTTCATTTGCATAACCTCTGGAACCTCCAAAATGAATATATAAAAAATAAACTTTATATCTTAATTTCTCTATCCTAATACTAACTGCCACAAAATCATCAAAGCACAGATAATGGAAAGTGGAAGATATGAAATCAAATTAATTATACTTTTCTTCTCTTTGAATACATCCTTTTTCATGAGATCTTGAAATTAATTTTTTCATTATTTCAACTGTTAACATTTTCACATTTGTTTTCTTTTTCTTTTATGGTTTTATTGTCTGTACTTTGGCCAAAGCACTCGGTCAAAACCAACAAGTCACACTAGGAGACCATTAGCTATTTCCCATAAACTTTATGTAAACTTCATGTGATCTTTCACTTGCTCTTAACTGCATGTAACACTTAATGAATCTTACATATGTTGGGTCTCCAAGTAATAATAATTTATGTAGCTTTCAAATATGTATCTTAAAACACAAAAATAAATCAGACACTAAAATAAAACAAAATCTTCTGCCTTTTCTGTTTGCTGATATATAAATTTATCAAACCCACTGGAGAAGCATATCTCGTCTTTCCATAGCTTTCAATGCTATTACCTAATCATGGGTACTTACCTGACAAACATGTTTGTAGCAAACAGAAGAACATATTGGCCTCTACTTAAAACTTATTACAGTTATTTCTGTTTGGCAGGCATAAGTAGAAAGTTGGCCTTAGATCCTTTGTGGTAAATTTTGTTCAACTCTGGACAGCTAACAGAATTTTTTAATCTACTTGTAGCTTAAAAATTTAACTGACTCTCTAATTTAGCTTTAAATAGGTTACAAATTCTGTTAGCTTCTCATATAAATTATAGTAGTTTTGGGAAGATTTTATTATCTTACTTGTAGTTATGTATAGTTTGTGTTTTTAATTAATTGCACACTTAAGACTCCATACTGGGGAAGATATAACATCTATAGGGAAGAATTTAGAGTACATATACTTCACATGACATAGAGAAGTGGAAAAATGCATTTTCGAATATTTCCTTTTGAAATTAAGGAATCAAAACTTAGATAATATAACAATTTGAATTATAAACTACATTTTTTATGCCACAGTGTTGACATACATTGATAATAAATTTAATTAAATTTTGAATGAAAGTGTAAAATGTCATAACATTGCCCAAGCTATAGAGAAAGAGTTAAATGATGTCAGACTTAATTGAAATAATTCATTCAAACACACAAATTAATTAGTAAATTACATGTTAATATTACTGTGCTAAGTCGGTTAAGAATTGTCTTCCTTTTCTAGTCTTTAAATCTATCTCACATTTAATACTCTGTAGGTTCTGGGTAAAGTAGACTTCATGTAGTCTTTTACCACTGAATGTATATCTGTCATGTACAAATTAATATCCTGAATTCAGATTAAAAAGTCACTCCAAAAAGAGCTGGATATGTATACATTATCTCTATATTTTGATGGCATTTGAGAAAGTCCAACATTTTGAAAACAAATTCTAATTTTTATTGTGAAGTTTTAACTATGTCAAGGTGAAATATTTACATTTGTAAATGTATGCTCAACCATTAACTACTTTTCAAACTTTAGTGTTCCTGATAAAATAAAGATGTTTGACCTTTTTCTTTCAAATCAGACGTTTCTGAAGTGTCACCATTAAGCAAGGGTTGGATGTTGATATTGGCATTTTTCAGGATGTCTAGAATATTTCTGCCTTCTCTTGGTTTGGACTGCTGATCCTGTGAAGCTGTACAAGAGTTCTGACAAAACTGCAGACCTTCTTGAAATATATTCTGTGGTAATGAATGGTTTATAGGAAGAAAAGAGGCATCTGAACTGTCTATGGGAGGTGAGAACTCCATCAAAGAATGAGAAACATCGATGTCTAATGAGAGAAAGAAACAAATATAATTAAAAATTTTAATAAGGAAGTTAATTTTAAAAATTTGTATACGTTTAATACACAGAAAATATGTTAATATTTCCAAAAATCTTCATACTTCTTTACACAAGAAAATCAAACATACCCTTATAAAATCAATAATTTTCAAAGAAAGAAAAGTTATAATTATACTCAAATAACAAAAATAAGAGTGTGTAGACATAATATAATACAGTAACCAATCATGTATCCTAAAATAAAAGTTACTTCTTTCATAACAAAATGCCATGAAGCACTACTTCAAAGAACTAATACAGTGCATAATAACTCTTTTGATTTGGTAATATGCTTGGGGCAGGGCTGTCCTATTGAAGCTGTAAGGAAGGCATGTTTTTAACGTAAGAAAAAAAGAAAGAGGAGATTTCTGAATGGTGTTCACATGTAAATCTATCTTTTCATTTTAACACTCTCAATATAGGCTCGGTCAATTTGACCAACCACGTGACCTTTTTGTACTCGTTTAGTCTCTACAGATTTAATACTTATAACTCTCAATATAGTGAGTATATCTTCACGAAATTTGGCAGTCTTTCAGTTAATATTACAAGTCTTTCCAAAAACGAAAAGTCATATATCTTAGTGAAGTATTTTTAATAAAATAAAGATTTGTTCATGAATATAGAGTATTTGTTCTCAACAGTCTGTGTGAAAAGTAATTTTCATGTTAAAATTAAAAATACTTTTGTGATCTCAAAATTCCTTTGTGTCATTCCGAAAACCTACTAAATGCATTTCAAACCTTTTTTTTTCAGTAAAACTTTATAGTTTATCCGTTATTTCCTCTACCCTATCTCAAATCATGATCGGTCAATTTAACCGACCTCATAACCACACACACAAAAAGATACCTAAATTAACCTTATTTTCTTTCTAGAATGACTTCAAATTGTAACATGAAACTACATTCGTTTATCCTAAGTACCTCTAAGTTCATAACATTATACATCTATCTAAAATTACATTTTGTTGTTTTATTGCCCTTTGAACTGTGTCTAACTACCATCTGCACCATTATAAGATGAAAATCACTTGGGGAACGTGGAACTCATGTTACACTATCGAATTGCATTACACACAAGCTATTCGGGTGTGTGCCTCATGAAACATTTTATTATATTATTATTACTTATTTTACCTAATCTAATCATATCAAACCTAAAGACATCATTATTTTTACATTTTAGTTACTATTATAATAATGAATAAGGAATAAATACAAAAAACAAGAAATAAAGTATTTACCTAATCTTCTTTATAAGTTATAAGCCATTATAAGTTGTAAATCACTCAGGGAATGTGCAGCTCACATTACGCTATCGAATTACATTACCCACGAGTTTTTCGTGCGTGTGCCTCATGAACCATTTTAATTATATTATTATTATTTTACCTAATCTAGTCTTAAATAACTTAAAAAGATCCATATTCTTAGATAGTTACTTTTACAATAATAG